ATATCTCATACACAGAACTGTAAAGGTATTCACGGCAACCAGTCAAAATAAAAGTCCGGTTTGATTTGAAGAATGATAAATTAAATTAATGTTTTATGCCTTCATTTGATAACCAGAAAAATGTAAATATACAACACAGAATTTCTGAGGGGGAAAAAAATTCATAAGGCTACTTTAAGAAAAAAAATGAATAAATTAAGTTGTTTTATGCATTCAAATAATTAGACATGCTAAAACACAGAATTTTGTAACAATAAATAATATGGTGAGAAAAAATGAAACATTTCATAGGGCCCTAAACATGTAATTTTTGTTAAACTTTGAATAAATTGATGTGAAAATTTATAAGTTTCATTATTTTAATTAATAAGACATGCTTTTTAATTAATAAAATGTAATTGAACTATTAAAAAGGAGTCGAGAAAAATTCAAACGAAAAAAAAAATGGAATTCAGAAAAATTCAAATGGAAAAAAACGGAATTTGGAAAAAAATAAAATGGAATTTAGGAAAAAATAAAATGGATTTCACAGGGCCCTAACTATCCCTCAGCCTTGCTGCCCCCCCAGTTTGGGAACCACTGCTTTATTTTTAAATGGATACATTAATCGTGTTTATTATATATTTTTTTTATTAAAGTGGAAATCAGTTTACTAAATAATGTAAACTTGACTGACTGCTTCACTTCCACTTTAAATGGATATTTATGTTGTTTATTATTTATTTTTATTTATATTCATAATTTTTGTGCAATTACTTGCCTGTCAGTTGAGTTTGTGGCAAAACATTTTGCAGTGTTTACGTGTTGTTTATTACTGCATAAAATTTATTAAAATAGATGTTTAATTTCATAAAGTACAAGTTGATTTCAAAATGCACCTACTTTTTTGCATTTTGTGTTTTTCAGTTGAATAAAATACTATTTTTCCCTATACATTTCATCATTGAGGATTTCTTAAAAAAAGTCTAAAAATCTCGTCTCGTCTCGTTCTCGTGGGATAAGAGTCTCGTCACACCTCTAGCTCTTACCCATATTGCTTTAGCGCTAGTGTTTGTTAGTCCAGTATCAACGTTAGCGGCAGCGTTGGGCAGGCAGGCCAGTAGTGGAAGGGGATCGGGTGTAAGTTTGAGAAATCTCCATATGTCCACATGGCAATAAAATGTCTGCCACTTTACTTATTGAGATTGTAATGAATGCCAGGTGCGTAGTCTGTTTTTTCAAGGCACTCCATTGACATGCAACTAAAAGAATGGTTAAAGAAATCTCGCTGTTAGACCAAAAACAGACTTTTCAGCTATTATAAAATACGCAGAATGCTTATAATTCATAGGGACAATAAAACAGAAAAATAAAAATTTTCTAAATGAAATCTAGAATTCAAATAACATTTAACCTTTAAAAACAGTTCACATATAGCGACAAATAACCAAGCAATAAAAGTTTTGCAAAACTTTCTATAAAAATCACAATTTTACTGTTTTTTTTATCATCAGAATTAAAAATACAATCTTACAGATTCCCAACTTGTATAATATTTTCATTTTCCTGTATAAAGATAAAAAATATGTTCGGTTTAGGACTATATTCTAATCACTGAACCTAAGTTTGAGCAATGTTAATAGCGATACTTCCTTAGAAACAGGAAATGCTATGACTCATCATCCTTACATAGTTTTACCTGAAACCTGAAATAGCCGTAGGCAGCTGAACAGTGCTCCTTCCAGTTTTTGATATCAAACAATAGCAACTGCACCGTAAACTCACTTTACCTCTTAATGACCGAATCTCTTTTGTAATAGAGGAAAGCCTGAGGATTATGGTTGCGTAATAATTAAAACATCGCAAGGGCCAAAGTGGCTAAACGCATTGTACATTGTCATAAAATGTTTTTCAATGGGCTGTGGATTGTGAACACAAGTTGTGTGAATGTTGTGTTTGATGAGCAAACTTGGATGTTTTTGCTTGATGTAGTTTGAGGGCAGGGGCAATCGCTGATATTAATCCATCAAAATGAACAATGGCTTTTTGGCATGACTCCTAAACACCACAAAACCAGAACGAAGGTGGAAAAGGCAACAAAGGTGAATTATTCTGAGCCTAATCATTTCATTCAAACGTGCATATTTTTGTCACTAATAATTGGATTATTTAGGGTTTTCAGTTTTGTTTTGTTTTTTTGCATATGAAACAACACTAGTCACAGAAACATTACAGTTTTGTTCTAAATACTTTCGTTTTGGTCTCAAAACTTTTTTTTTTTGTTTTTTTTAATTTATTAAAATATTATCCGTAATTTCAAATGACAGGAAACGTCATAAAAATGTATTGGTCACAAGGTGTGGCATATACAAGTCATTGGTCACAAAGAGGCATAAGAAGGAAGTAGCTTTAATCCTGAATCTCCATTCACATTGAAATTCATGATTAGACTTTACTTTGACTAATAATTACATTTGTTTTATTTACACATAATATATCATATAAATGATTATAAAAATCATTACAAAATGGGTAATAATTAAATTAGTTTAGTCATATTATAATATAATGTAATATAATATAAAACTTCATATAATAAAATATAAAAATGAATTATTTAAATAAATAATTAAAATATGTATAATTTTGTCCCTAATAATGGTATTATTTAGCTGTTTTATTTGCATTTGATGTGTCTGTAAAAAGGCCCCGTTGCACAAATGTTTGATTTTGTTTTGTTTGAATAATGTGATTTGGCATAAAATCGTAAAAATATAATTGTTCACAAAATATAAAAGTAGCTTTAATCCTGAATCTCCAGTCACACGGTAAATCACGATTACCTATTACTGTGGGAAATAATTAAATTTGTTTTATCTTAATAAAGTAACAGATAATTTCATATAATTTAATATTTTAAATAAAGCATGTATAATTTTGTCCCTAATTAGTTGGGATTAATTAGCTGTTTTTCCTTGCAAACTGCCACCAAATGAAAATGTGCTTTTTAGTTCTAAATATTTTCGCATTTGTGACATAACATGAGGAAAATCTGATTTTAGCGAGTGTTTATTTTGCACTGTGTTGAACAGCGTTGTTAGCGTCCCGTACTGTGGCGATGTGGCTCTTTTGCATCATGCGTGTTCACCAACCCCTTATTTGACTGTTTGTGTGTTTTGTTTTGTTTTCTCCCAGAAGTGATTCAGCAAATGCAGCTCCATCTGACCGAGGAGGAAAGAAAGTCGGCCATCTGCATGAAGAGATTCGCTAAGCTGCAGGCCGACCATCACAACCTCATCGGCATCACGGCCGAGCTGGTGGATTCGCTGGAGGCCACAGTCCGTGGAAAGATGGCAAGCAAAACATCAACTCACACATTATGTATACAATTCCAGCAATGCAAATAATTACGCGGGACAGGATTTCTCGTAAAATGCTCAAGGGACTATGGCGGATGTTTTGCAGATCTCTCCAGAGTACCTGCAAGGCGTGTGCATGCGGCTCTTCAGCGGACACATGAGACAGAGTGCTGCTCAGAGCGTAGACTTCACCAGACCCCGGTCTGTGAGTCAATGCCTCCGCAGAATTCTGACAATATGTTTATATGCATTTCTATTTCTATATATATTTTTTCATATTATTTGCATATCCACACTCCACCCATATCCAATTTCTTTGTTATTTTGGAAATAATGAAATCAGAACTCTTTGTTCAGACAGTGTATATAGAAGAAATATTCAATGTATATTGAATTCATATATTAATATAGGCTATATCATATTCTAATATATAATAAATCTTAAAGCTTATTTTTTAACTACTAGGATTTTTGCATCGCGACATCGCGCACATTTCCTTCGAAACTGTCATTACCGTAATGTGATTTGGTAGTATAAAAATTTGATAGGACAATTAAATGTGCTTAATTGACCCTTCGCAAAGACCCTTAGTTACGGTTGCTATGTCCGACAAGTCATGGCGCACTCACGCCACATATCATGTTCTCACGCAGGGAAAAATACATTGTGGAGTCTCAGCTTTCAAATTTTGTCTTTTTTTTTTTTTTTTTTAATTCAAACAATATATGAAGAGTTCATTTGCAAAAACCGATAACTAAACCGATATCAATCAAACTGCAGTTGGGTTGTTTTGATTAAGTAATAATAGCTTAAACAAATACAGGTAATTTACTAAATTAAAGTTCATTGAAAGTATGGGTTTTTTACATATTAAAAGTTTGTTTTATAGCAAAAGCAGATAACTCCACATTTCATGTTTTAGAGTTTAAAAAACACTGGTTTAATCTTTGTAATCTCCTCAGATGACAATGTAGACGCCTGACAAACGTTGTTTTTGTTGTGATCATAAACTGTATGGATGTGATTACACGCAATACACGGAGCTTTTCCCTCACCATTGTAACGCGCTGCTTTTGCAAGCTTCCGTGAAAACCTTTCAGCTTTTATTTTCCTTTTTCGCCCTGAAGACGATATCACAGGTTCATCAAGTTCGTCGAAATGATCCATCCTCGATTACTTTTAGTCAGCTTTGACGAAACTCCTCTCAGCTAGCACGTCTTTTCAAAGTGAAAGTAGCCTTGTCACCTGACCTGAATACAGCGCGCTGATTCGCTAAAATGGATTTATCGGCTTCTGTTCAAAAACAACAACAAGGCGCTTGTCGGCTTCTGCAGTAAAACGTGAACTCGATGCCTTGAAAGTGGACAAAACCGGCTTTTTTGACAAAACGTGTTTAGGGTTCAGATCGCGCTA